CTCTCCTCTGTGCTAGGCTATGCAATAAGAAATTGCTTCAATGCAACCATGTTTTACGTATAAAAACATATGTCATAAAATTTACCCTACCTCAGATATCTTTACGTCTCTTTTAATGCACAAAAGAAATTGCTGGGATTAACTTTTTACAGATCTTGCTAACTGAAACAATTCTAGTTCTAGTAGACAACACTAGCTTTTTGACTGCTTTAAAAAACAAGAGAACCTAACTCTTCCTCTCCTCCTCCTCTTCCTCTCCCCACCTACTCCTTTCCTGATACTTTTTACCTCTCTTACTCCTTAACAAGGAATCCTGGTGTGGCGCTGTGGGTTAATGCGCTGGACTGCAAAGTCAGTTTGAACTGCAAATTCGAGCAGTTCAAACTCACCAGCCGCTCCTCGGAAACCCTATACAGGGTGACTATGGGTTGGAATCGACTCAATGGCACTTAACAACAATACCCCTTTAACAAAGGAGTTCTGGTGGCATAGTGGTTATGAGTTAGACTGCTAATCTCAAGGTAAGCAGTTCAAAACTACCAGCAGTTCCGCAGGAGAAAGATGAGCCTTTCTGTTCCCGTAAAGATTTACAGCCGCAGAAACCCTATGCAGGATCACTATGAGTTGGAACAGACCCCATGGCACAAAACCACCACCCCGCTCTACCACTACCCCTTAACAAGGAGTCGTGGTGTGGAGCCAGCACCATTGGATAAGCACTCAACCTCAAGGTTGGCTTGAACCCCAAGGTCGATGGTTCAAACTCACCAGCCACTCCTTAGAAACCCTATATAGGGTCGCTACGAGTCGGAACAGACTCGACGGCACTTCACAACAACAATAATAACCCTTAACAATGGATATCTCCCAAGCCTTGCATTCTAGATTCAGCTCTGTTTCTCTTCTCTTAGTTCATATACTTTCACACCTTCCCAAATCACTTTTGTACTGAAGACTCTGCATCTTACCTCAGCAGTACATCGCCAGTCAACACTTGAAGGCTTCCAAGGCCAAGTAGCCCCAAAGTAGCCTCACTATTCACAACGGGCCTTCCCTCAATAACCTCAATGCCATCACGGATGCACAATTATTCCAGGTTTCCAGATTGTAGGCATCCACTCCCCTCTTAAAGCTCTTTACCCAACCAGGTATCCAGTTCTGTCCAATTTCTTGAATGCTTCCTGAATCCATTCCTTCCCCTCTATATTTTTTGCTACCACAATCTTCCTATTGTTACTGTCATTTAGTGCCATCAGGTTGGTTCTAATAGCAACCCTGTATAGGGTTTCCAAGGAGCATCTGGTGGGTTTGGACCGCCAACCTTGTGGTTAGCAGTCTTACAGTGACACAGTTATCTTACAGGACATGCCAGTACCCTACTATGCAGGAATTACTCCAAAGGCTTTCACCCTGGCCTCCTCTGGCATAAAAATTCATTCTCCTAACCATTCTTTTTCTCATTATGAGTGGGCCTCAAAAAGTTCATGGAATTAAAAAGATAATGGAAAATTTTCACAAATGTTTTGAAGGCAACCCCCGCAAGCCCCACCCTGTACTTCTCTCTCCACCCAGAACCCACAGGGCTCACTACCACGTTGTTGTATCATATCTGAACTCTGCTGCATGGCTGTCTGAGAGCCGTCAGATTGGGGTCCACTCTACTACCTTACGGTATTTCCACTGCTCTCATACTATTTTGCTCTATGAAAGCCCTTTTCACATTACATTATTTCCATGTCTCTCCTCCCTGTTGGCCCAGAAGATAAATCCCAGTGCTTATCTTAAGTCTCCATAGGAGTCAGCACAGAACCCAGTACCCAGTAGGTATTTAACAAAGGTTTGTTGGAACAGTAGATTGTTGCTCAGCAAACTAGCATAAAGTGACAGGTAAAACGATAGAGATGGCCTTCTCTGATTGGTTCTCACAGCATCTTGTCCTGTCCTTTCATAATATTTACCTCACCTTTAAATTATGCATCTAGTTGTGTGGATTGTATAATGTCTGTTTCTTCATTCTTATTGTAAGTGCCATGTGGAAGCAGCAGTACGTGCTCACTTCTATATCCCGAAGCACAATATCACGCTCAAAGGACTACAAGGAATGAGCAGTGGATATTTGCTGAGTGGATGAGTAAGAACTTTCCCTTTAAGGAAGCTGGATTCCTCACTGGCCCCACACTCCCCACCTCCAAACATCCCTGCCTCTTTTCAACCTACACATGCTGTTTTCTCCTCTCCTACACAAATTCTACCTTCACAGTATAACTTAAGTCCCATCTGCTTCATGGAAATGCTATTCCAGACTCTTTTATCTCTCCTGGTGATTTATCACTGACCTCTTATCACGTCGATGTTCTATTTAACACCAATGTTCTCAATGAAATCATGATTACTTTATCTTCTAATGGTTTGTTTATTCAAATATTGTTTCCACAACCAGATTTGAATCCCTGTAGATACAAGCAATAAACTTCTTTCATATTTTCCAAAACTTGGTACAATCTTGAGCAATACAGGTTGCTTGGAAAACATGGAGCTAGGGACCAAATTTATCAGAAGTGAAGTCAATTCTTCCATCTCTGGAGAATGCACCATGTTCCTTGTATGTGACCTTAATCAGAGCAACTCGGATGACTTAGAGATTAGCACATTTGTACTTCAATGTGTAACAGATATGATTTTTAAATGGAGAATCTGTACTAAAAATCAAATGCTATTTACAATTTAGGAGGACGTTACCGACAGAATAAATTCAACTGTGAATCATTATTCTAGAGTGAATTATTCTTCCCCTGAGTCCCCATTAATCACATGTTATAATAACATTTTATTATATCACGATTGTTTATCAGACAGAAAACAGGACTTGGGAAAGATAAGGAATTCTAAAGAGAAAACATCTGGAGGAAATCCTCCTTCTAGCTTATAGTGGTTCATATGTTTTCTTCAAACTCAACCTCCACATTCACCCCTCAGAACTGGTATGTAAGGATAATGTATGTTCTATATTAATTAAGAGCTGTGGTAGCATAGTGGTTACGAGTCAGGCTGGCAACCTTAAAGTCAGTAGTTCGAAACTACCAGTGGTTCCACAGGAGAAAGGTAAGGTGTTCTGCTCCTGTAAAGACTTACAGCCTCGGAAATCCTGTACATGGTCACTATGAGTTGGAACTGACTCTACGGTACTTAACAACAACAACAATATTATTAGGGCAATAAACAAAAATAGAAAATAGGGAAAAGTGAGATTCATTTGGTATGAATTCTAAAGTGCATTCATGTACTTACTCATTCAAGGATGTTCATGAGCAACTCCTATATACTATAATAAATCCAACACTGTTAGATGAATCAGATACACTTATATGGTCCACTTAGAGTAGACCGTTGAATAGGAACGGACTCAATGGTACCAAACAATAAGGGAAGATAATATGAGGGAGAGTTCTGATGCCCTAAGAGAAGAGTAAATAAAATGCTTTAAGAATTCAAAAAAAGGGAAACATTCCTCTGGGATTATCAGGAAAGTTTCTTGGAATAGGTAGCATCTAAGCTAGATCTTAAAACATGCGTATGGCTTAGACACGAAGAGATGTGAAGAATGGGTGCATGAGCTCAAATATTAGGATGAGCAAAAGCTCACTGGAATGGGAAGTCTAGAGTATAGTGGAGCAGAAACAGGAAATACAACTGGTAAGATTCTTGGGGACAAGTGGTGGTGGTGGTTATGTGCCATGGAGTCATTCTGACTCATAGCGACCCTGTCCAGGGTTTCCGAGGCTGTAAATCTTTACTGGAGCAGAAAGCCTCATCTTTCTCCCACGGAACAGCTGGTAGTTTCAAACTGCTGACCTTGCGGTTCACAGCCCGATTCATAACCACTACACTCTACCAGAGCTCCTTGGGAGGAGGGCATTAAAACCAAGAAGTCTGCATATCTGTAAACAGAAAAGTGCTTCTCAAGTGTTAATGTGCATATCAATCACCTTGGGGTCTTGTTTTGCTAGGTCTGGGGCCTAAGATTCTAATATTCCAAGTGCTACCAATTCCAAGCGTCAAAAACATAGGCAACGGGAAGTCACTGACAGTTTTGTCCAGAGAAACTGCCTGATCACCAGTGTACTCCAGAAGGATGAAATCTGATACTAGTCAGGCATCAGGCACACTGGCACAGTGAGAAGCTGCAGGCTGTGGTCCTCTACTGTGGCTGTGCATTAGAATCATCTAGGAAGCTTTTACACTGTGTATTACCCAGCTCTCACTCCCAGAGATTTGTATTTAATTGGTCTGGAGTGAAGCCCAGAGTTCAGTGTTTTTTTAAAAAAGTTCTCCAGAGGATTCTAATGTAAAGCCAGAGTTGAGAACCTCTGCTATCGATGATAATAGTAAGTACTGCAATACTTTATTCAGGCAAAAGATGATGAGATCTAAACTTGGGTATTGGCAATGGGAACAGAGTCAAGAGCCAAGATGCATAAAATATTAATAAATGTAGAAGACACAGACCTTAGTAACTGCTTGCACAGGGATTCAGATGTATACATCATTCATTTCTTCTGGTTAAAGACAGTTTGGTGACTCTAGAGCCAGAAAGCCTGCTTTAAATTCCACCAATTATACTTAAAAAGTATATGTTTCACCTTGGGTCTCAGTCTGTTCATCTGAAAATTAGGGGTAATATTAGTAACTAACATATGGAGTTGTTATAGGGAATGAATGAGTTAACATAAAGCACTTAGAACCATACTTGCACATAGGAAGAGATTTCAAAGTGTTTGCTGATGAACAGCATGGGTCCACATCTATTCTGATCTTTCCAGGATGCTGCACTGTATCTAAAACTAATCTGGAAAGAAGTCCTTGAGAGCTCTAGACCTGGAGCAAATTTAAAGTCACTGGATTATTACCTAATCCAGCTGGATTTAAGTGGCCCACCCTGATTCCCTCCATTCAGTCCTACTCCCAAGGTCTCAAAGAAGAACAATCACAGAGGACCCTACTTGAACTGCTGGTCCTTGGTGCTGCGTGTCTTGGCCAGGAAGCGCTCAGCCAGCTTCTCCAGGTTGCGAGAGTAGTCCATCTCGATCTCAGCCTTCTTTCGGAAGAAGTCCTGGAGGTCCTGCAGTAGCTGTACCCGGAGCTCACACTGCTGGTCCAGGCATTTCATCTGCTCGGTGAGCTGAGCGCGGATCTCTGCAGCAGAAACAAGGGAGCATGGTCAGAGGAAGGTCCCTAAGCCAACAAGCCCATACCTTCCACTAAGTCATTCCTTGTGCCCTGGGGGACTCAAGAGTCCTTAAATGAAAACAAAACCTAAATCCTAAACTAGCCATATAGTGTAGGGTACTTCCAAAAACTCTATAAATGTTTTTTCAGACCAATGAGGAATATTGTAAACCAGGAAATCTGCTGCATCATTTAAGAGAAATTGCTTATTAGATTTATTGTTAAGTGCTGTCATGAAGTCGGTTCTGATTTACAGAGACCTTGCATAGTGTTTCCAAGGAGCACCTTGCAGTTAGTGCTTAACTAACTTAGCACCTTGAAATGCTTAACCTACAGCATCACACCAGGATTCATATTAGACTTATTAGATATGATATTCAGAGCTACTATTTATTGAGTAACTTACTGTTACTGTGTCACTAATATAATGCTGGGAGCCCAAATGAATTCTCTCCCAACCACCCTATGAAGTAAGTGCTACTTTCATCCCTATTTTAAAGATGAGAAAACTGACTTTTGAAGTCAAGCTATTAAGTGATCGGAGCTGGGATTCTGAGCCAGACAGTCTGGCTTTAGAACCCAAGCTCCTGTTTATAATACAAGCAGGCTTCAAAATGTTTGTGGAAAACTTCCATTATCTTTTCATTCCATTTTTCCATGAACTTTTCGACCCCACCCCACCCCACACACATACTTCCTCTCACCTCTTCAAGAAGGTTTTTTTAGTACCTTCACAAAGCAGAGCCAGGGTCAGTGTTTTCACAGAGAGTGTTGTTATGAGTAGGAACGAACTCAAGGGCACTTAACAACCGTAACAATAGTAAAGAGCCTGCCCAAGGTCAAATGGTTGCAATCAAGACTGAAACAAGTTCCTAGACCCTATGTAACCAAACAACCCATTCACTGTGAATCTGATTCTATAAGTTCCCGTATCACAGAATGTAAATTAAAGCTTCAAAAAGTTGGCCTTGGAAGAGATTTTTCACCTGCAATTTTTTCACTCATATCACTCACTGTTGCTTCTTTCTCATCAGTGCCTCTGAGCTCCCACTGTATCCAAGTTAGAGAGATTTCTGGTTCTGCTCTAACTGGGCAGATTTCTCTTGGGCCAAAGTCCTCATATGGAGCAAGCACACACCTTTTCTGTGGAATTGTAGCCATTGCTTACGCAACCAGATCAGCCTCAAAAGCAATACTGCATTTGTTACTGACAAGAGACACCAAGCAAATAGGAGTGTAGCTGGCAGACCTGGCACCCACAGGAAACAGCTTGCCAAAGCCAGACTGCTTTTCAGCTCAGAGAAGATCTGCAATGCGTACTCTGCAGAAGCCATGTCTCAATCCCCATCTGAGTCAGAAAAGAGCCATTTCTTTCATCCCCTCACCCTGCAAGCCTGCTCAAACCCAAGTAAGGATGGGTCCCAGGGAAAAGGAGCACCTATATTCTGCCTTTCCTTATGGTAGTGGTGGTGGTTCTGTGCCGTAGAATCAGTTTCGACTCATGGTAACCCTATGTAGGTTTTTCAATGCTGTAAATCTTTATGGGACATTGGTTACCCAAAATGGGAGGGGGGCTGCAAAGACAAGAAATGACTGGCTTACAAGCGTTCAAGAGGGAAATTAGATCCAGAGGGCGTGGAGGAAGGTAGAATTTCCACTGAGTAGTATCCAGTCTGTCTAGGCTAGGCGGGGTTGATGAAAGGAAATGCAGATAGGTCTCTTGCGATACAATAGTGAATAATTGTTATCAGGACTGCTTGTGAGGGTTGGAAATGTAAAGGTAGATGTTTTGTAGCAAGGAGGGGAGTGATTAACTTTGTGGTCTAGGAGTGGAGGTCCCTGGGACCATCAAGGGAGAAGAGCGAAGAGCGGGACCCTACCCAGAAAAGCAGTGACACCAGAGATAGAGGCAGAGACGATGATGTGGAGAGATGGAGCAGTTGGGGATTTAGACACAGAAAGGGAGAGGGGCTGTGTGCTGATGACCGGGAGGCAGGCTTGCAGAGTATACCCTTTGGTTGGTTGATGATGCATGGAGGGGATTGTAACCATGACAGTGAAATGATATACTATAGGATGAATATAAAACTAATATTCTCCCATGTAAACTATCACATAATTCACAATAAAACATTTTTAAAAAAATCTTTATGGGAGTAGAAAGCCTCAACTTTCTCTTGAGGAACAACTGATAGATTCAAACTGCTGACCTTACAACCCAACTCATAAACAACTACGCTTCCAAGGCTCCTTGCCTTTCCTTAGGAACATTCCAAATTCACTCCCAGATGGTACAGTTTTAACAACAGAGTTAATCTATGCTAGGTAATGCATGGGGGGAATCTGGCGTTTCATCCAAGATGTGGATAGATGAGAAGCAAATCCAGGACTGGGGGCATGGCATTCAAAGTTTTGCGAAGTACTCCTTTTATAAAGCAGAAAGACAGACGTATATAAATGGTGTCTTTAGCTTTGCCTTGGAGCACCTGGGGGTCTATAATCTCACCTCAATCTTTGTTTGTGTTTCTGTTTTTATAGATACCAGTCTGTAGTTCAAGTATCTGGTCCTTTGTGGGTGATCTTAGGTAAGTGGTCAATGCAGTTCTCATCTTCCTTATACCTGCTCTCCCCCTCGCCAACCACCAATGTCTATCAGCCCTGCAGTAACCTCACCTGAACTGAAACTGAGCACCACTGGATTGTTGAGAGCAGACAGAAGGCTGTGCAGGAAAGCCGCCTACCTCATCACTCATCAAAGCTCTCTTGTTCTGTGTTTTTCAGAGTCTGATTACAAGGATGTTGGGGGTGGGGAAAGATCCATGGAGGTCACATCAGGCATCTGGTTCTTGCCAGAGAATTCTAGACCTCTTAAAGGCAACAGTCCTTGTTGAGACATCTGCCCCCCTTATATCTATGAATGAAAAGCTGGCAGTAATAGTCACTGGGTGGGCCAAACACTCTGATATTACTTGGAACTTGTCCACTTGACAATGGGTGCCTCTTAGGGCTGTAAGACTCTCCAGTGAGGCAGTCCAGAACAGACGTGCAACGAGATACGGATGGCAGAGGGGTTCTCGACTCCCTCTAAGTCACCTGAAACGCACTTATGACTTGTCTTCAGTAATCTCACAACCAGGGAAGCAAAACATAGCATTCAAGATTGGATGAAACCTACCCCTTGTCAAAAAAGCAAAAAAAGAGCTCTAAGCAAAATCCTATGACACCCATGAACTTCTAGAGGGTGGCCACTCCAAGATTATCCTGTCCAAGGAACAAGCATTTCATAGGAGACTATTGAAGTCCATGAATTTACCTAAGAAGCACCCCCCAAGCACATCCAGCCAGTGTGTTCAGACTTTTCCAGGTGCCTCAGAGAGTAGGCCACGCAGTTCCAACTGCATCCCATCCTCAGCCCCTGAAGGCAAGAGAGCAAGTGTTTACCCAACACCTTTTATGGTTCATACTGATGTGCATCATCTCATTTAATCTTTGCAAATGGTCTACAAGGGATGACTACACTGATAAGAAAATCGAAAGTAAGATGGGTTAAATTATTTGCCACAGGGTCATACAATGAGGTTAAATGTACAGTTGATGCTGATTTGAGGTTTGACTGACTTCTCAAAGAGGTGAGGACAGGAAAACATATTGACGTCTGAAGTTTTTGGACATTGTCTCTGAATATATCATAGCAACTAAGGCACTGGTATGGAATCCTGGTCCTGGTTGTTGTGGCGCTGTGGGTTAATGCGCCAGACTGCAAAGCCGTTTGAACTGCAAGGTTAGTGGGTCAAGCTCCCCAGCTGCTCCTCGGAAACCCTATACAGGGTTGCTATGGGTTGGAACGGACTCGACAGCACTTAACAACAACAACAAGGCACTGGTGTGGTGCTGTGGGTTAATGTACTAGACCACAAGATTTGTTTGAACTGCAAGGTCAGCAGTCCAAATTGGCCAGCTGCTCCTCGGACGCCCCATACAGGGTTCCCTATGACTCAGAACCAACTTGGTAAAAACAACAAGGCACTATAGGATAAGCACTGGACTGTTCACCTTAAGGCTGATTGTTTAAACCCACCAGTCACTCCTCGTAAACCCTACACAGGGTCTCTAGGAATTGGAACCGACTCAATGGCACTTAACAAGTCTCCTGCCACTGGAACATTCCTCTCACCTTGCAGCCGAGTAATTCAGTCCCTCAGTCAAGTTTTGACCAACCCACTGGCTCCCAAACTAGCCTATGTTTCAACTAGGCCACACCCAGGCTGGATCCCTTCCCAGCTTCCTAGATGTACTCCACAGGGCAGCTCTGGAGGAAGTGTTTTTTTTGTCCTATGACTATACCCTGAAAGCGGCCAGTTAGCCCAGAGGACAGGGTAACTGAGAAAGTCCTAGCCCTACCCCTGATCCTGGAAAAGTTTCCACGAATAGATACCACCTGCCACTGTGGTTTATTTGTGATGATACCACTGAGCAGCTTCCCCCACTCCCCCATGCCTTACAGAACCTCAGAGCAACCACTTTTAAGAGAGACTCTAACCATCCCAATGGCCAGACCTGTGACTCTAAGACAGAATGGCTATCCTGTCCAGTGCAGAATGTGCTGTCTCAAGCTTTTGTTGCTGCTACTGATGTTGTTGCTGATGATGATGTTGCTGTTGCTGCAAAGACAAACAATGGTTCCCAAGAAGACAGCTGTGCCAGTCCCAGTCCTCTGTCCATGCACACAAAGGGCAGAAAACAATCAGCTACTGAATGCCAGCATGCCTGGGCCAAGTGCCGAGCCCGGAGGCCCTTTGCACCCTGGCCTACCAACAAACCACAAGGGCAGAAAGAAGAAAGGGGCAATTTATAAAAACACGAAGGAATTCCTCAGAGTTCCCTCGTGTGTTTAGGCAAGCATGCACGTGCACACACATGCACCCTCACAGACAAACGCTACTCACATAAAACATCCCCTCCACAGA